AAAGGAACCGTGGTTGAGGCACTTCCCTGTATTGCACCAGGTTTCTAAGCAGAGCTGCCTCCCTGCTGGTCCTACCACCATAACTGGCGGATTTGTGAGCCCCATGCAAAACAGTCTTCATTTTTCACCTGGCTTGGTTTGTGTGTCTTAGTCTGGGTTTTCTAGAGAAGCAAAAGCAGTGAAGCTTAGAAGAAGAGAAAAAAAAGTATCACAAGGAAATGGCTCACACAGTTGTAGAGGCTGACAATTCCCAAGTCCATGGGTCAAACATCAGGCTGAAGGCTTCTGACTCTCAGCTGCAGGGGCTGATGAACCCAAGATCGGCAGGCAATACAGCAGGCTGCAGCTTCAGTGGCTGACGAATTCAAGATCAGCAGGTAAAATGGCAGGCTATTTATTCACAAGCTGTGAAGGCAGCAATCCCAAGATCGGCAGTCCACTGGTTCAAGTCCAGATGATGACGAGCCAGTTGTAGGATCCCAAGAAAAAAGCCAGAGACCTTTCCCAGAGCTTTACCATATATATTGGAAGCAGAGCGCATCTTGAAGAAAACTCCCTTTCAGCTGATTGACTGCTCATAGCAGATCTCATCACAGGGGATAACTACATTGTAATTGCTGAACATCTTTAGAATCATGGCCCAGCCAAGCTGTGACACATAACCTTAACAGCTTCTTTTAGATGTAATCACTTCTCTAGAATGGTAATGGGACTTTTTTTTTTCTGTGCTGCATCTTTCTTATAATAACAAGTGTATGTCTTAATAGCAGTGGGTTTGTTTTTTTTGGGGGGGGGGCGAGGGGGTGTCCTTAATATTATCTATTCTTCCATTAGGATCCAATTTGGAAGTTATCTTTTCTCGTTCATTCATCATACAATTTAAACCAGTTTCTGGTTTTGAAATACAGTTGTGAGTGTTTACATAATTCTTAAGTCTTCTATGCCTTAACTTTTACTAAAGTCACAACCTTAATTGTGATCTTTCTCCCAATTCTAACATTCTCAGTCTCTAAAGAACAACTTTATTTCCTGACACAAAATGTTTATAAGAGTACAGCTCTTAGTCTAGTTCCAGTCCTAATGAATTGTGATTTCTTTTGATAGGTCTCTAGTACATTTAGGTACTATGTCAGAAACATACAGCATGTAATGCAGAGCTACTGGTTTTTACTTATCTATTTCTTTCCCTTTCCCTCTGTCTTCACCCCACCGCCACCTCCACCCCTGATTTATTAAACTTTCAGAAAGCAGAAGGAAGCAAATAGCATTTTGTCAGTTTGCCTTACTGGTGAATGGTAAGAACAGCTAGAAATGGATGACATTAAGTTTGCTTGAAGCAAAGTATTATTTATTGACCACAACTACATAATATACAGTCCAAAATTCTAACCTTTGAAATGTATGTAAGTTGTAAAAATGTGAATAAAGTACAAGAAAACTAAAGTTAGAGATTAATTAGAACACTTTAAAGTAACATGTTACATTTTTAAGAGTTAACTTTTTAAACACTAAACAGATACATGTTTTGTTATATTTTGACATGGATATATTTTACCTATTTTTCTAGTTGTGGGAACATACACTTGTTTTTTTGGGTTTGTTTGTTTATTTTGTCTGTCATCTGACTCCCAGTGAAAATGTAAGATCCATGAGGGCAGAGATTTGGTCTGTATTTTTGCTGCCTTGCACTGCCTAGAACAGCAGCTTTTCAGTAAATAGTTCTTACTATTTTGTCCTAGACCTCCAGAAACTTCCATGTAACCACGTTTCATTTCTATTTCTTTTCTAAAGCACTCAAGTCCAGGCAACCGTCTTAAAGATGCAAAGACAAGGAGAAAAAAACATCTTCTCAGAGATTGTAAAATACAGTTCTTTTGACAGCTTATTAAATAATGTTGTTGTTGTTGTTGTTGTTGTGTGCCGTCGAGTCGGCCCCGACTCATAGCAACCCCTCCTTGGGTTTCCGAGGCAGTATCACTACAGAAGTAGGATTGCCCAACTTTCCTTCCGAGGAGTGGCTGGTGGGTTTGAACCGCCAGCCTTCTGCTTAGCAGTCAAGTGCTTTAGCCACTATGCTACCAGAGCTCCCATTAAATAATGTACCCATGCATTTATATAAAACAAAAAACTAGTTGCCACTGAGTCACTTCTGACTCATGGTGACCCAATATGTGTCAGAGTAGAACTGTAATCCATATGGTTTTCAATGGCTGATTTTTCAGAAGTAGCTCGCCAGGCCTTTCTTCTGAGGTACCTCTGGATGGACTCAAACCTCCTTTGATTAACAGCTGAGCAAGTTAACCATTTGTACCACCCGGGACTCCATGCATTTGTGTAGTTCCAGTTAATTGTTTTTTCCTGAGGAAATTTCAGAAATTGCTTTTTCTATTTCTCCAAATGCTCTTTTTAGGAAGATAGGCACCATTCCTATTTTTCAGATCTAGGAAGCCAAATCCTATTGAAATTTTTTCCTGAATTAATGGAGGAGATTATTGGTAGAACTAGGATTAAAATTTGCCTTTAACTTAGCTTGTTTTTCCTGCTTAACCTAATCTTAGCAGATTTTTTACTGTTGTTTCAGCTGTTTTTGCTGTTTTACTTTGTTTTATTCTCTCTCTTTTTTTCTCTTACCTATATTTTTCTTCTCACTCATCTCCTTATTCCCCCCACCCCAAAAAAAATACCTGCAGTTTATGGGTCAGATTTACTTTAAATAAGTCATTTGATTAAAAGAATAGGAGAATATGCCTTGATTTTTCTTAATTCTAATGTATACCTGTTTTTCATATGTTAACATTTGGAAATTAGAAAGGACTATAACTGGGAGTTCTGGTGGCATGGTGTCTAAGGCATTTGACTGCTAACCTTATGGCTGGCGGTTCAAACCCACCAGCCCCTCCTCGAAAGGAAGGTTGGGCAATCTGCTCCTGTAGTGATACAGCCTTGGAAACCCAAGGAGAGGTCACTATGAGTAGGATCCTACTTAATGGCAGTTGTTGCATTTATAATCTAACAAACTTAATTTGAAAGTCTCCCTTTTTTCTATAATAATAATAATAAAATATTATGCAATCTGAAACACCTTGCAGTCAAGAAAACATTAAATATGTATTGTTTTTTCATGTATATTTGCACAACAAAAGCAAGTTTAGTTTTTTTGTTTTAGATTAAGTTATAACTTAACTCATAGAAAAATTATTGTGAAACAATTATATTTTTTAACAAACTTTTGTTTTGTTTTGGCTTTTTTTTTTTTTTTTTTTAGATATACTGACCAAAATGCCTTTTACTCGTTATTTATAAGCAAAATTCCTCATTCTGACATTCCTTCTGAGAAACATGTCACAGAAATACCAAAATGTCTCTATGATACTACTTGGCTATATTCAGATTTCCATTTTCACTTTCAATATTACATTCCTTGTTAAGAAATATTGGGGTGTATGTTTATGTGTGTTTCATATCATTATAACTGTGTTTTACTTTTGATTTCTTCTTTGTTGTTGTTGTTATGTGCTGTCGAGTTGGACTCGACTCACAGCGACCTCTCCTTAGGTTGCCGAGGCAGTATCACTATGGAAGTAGATTGCCCAACCTTCCTTCTGAGGAGTGGCTGGTGGGTTTGAACCACCAGCCTTCTGATGAGCAGTCAAGTGCCTTAGGCACTATGCTACCAGATCTTTACTCATTGATAAAAACAGCTTATTTCTTTTATATTCCTTTAGGGATAGGGATTGTTATTTATTGTCAACTTTTTTTTTCTTTTATGAATGTATTATAAAATACCCTATTATTTCTTCCCTGTTTCTCTGTCTGTGACTTTTTTTTTCTAAGTTGGAAGAAATTGAAATACATACTCATTGCTAGTGCACAATAAATTTTACCTTCTGTAAGATGCTGGTATATAATACCTATGATACCACTTCAATTAGATTCTCTCAGCCCTCCAAACCAAAACAAACTAGACTGAGCACCTCTCTTTATAAAACATGAAACTATAATATTGCCAATACAATTATAGAAAATGCATGTATGCTGTTATTTGTACCCGTCCTTAATCATTCAGATATCCTTTTACTCTCCCTCACTGTCTTAGGTTGTACTCTGATTGCTCAAGGCTTTCCACTGGATTCTCCCTCCCTTTCCCTTGATTTTTTCATTCCTGCCTAGATAAGCTGATCTCAGGTTTCCTTCACTATATTCTAGTATATGAGTAACTACTATAAGAGTAACAGAAGGAAGAATTGGTCCAAGTTGAGTAAACTGCAAAAAACACCATTTAGAGATGGAAAAGTAGACGGTGGAGTCTAGAATCCTCATGAGAATAGGAGTCATATCTATCTGCTTTCTAATGTATTCCTAGTATCATGTAACAGACGCTCAGTAAATATCATTGAAAGAATAAGAAGGTAAAATGCAGCAGATAAAGTGAAGAGGAAAAAGTTTTTGAGGAAATGGTTTGTTCCTTATATTTTTATGTTGTTAGTAAATTAACCTGATGTTTGGGAAGGATTTGTTCATTTTCCCTTCCTCTCTGAGTTCCTTAAGCTTCTGGAATTGCAGAGATGTCCTCTGTAGCAGTAGCATCATAATTTTACCCATCATATGAAATGTGTCTAAAACATCTAGCATTCTGCCTCAAATTATTGCATTAATAACTACCTTAGAAGTAGCAGCGAGCATTTGAGTTGTTGTTGTTGTTATGTGCCATCGAATCCGATGTGACTCACAGCGACACCTCCTTGGGTTTCTGAGGCAGTATCACTACAGAAGTAGATTGCCCAACCTTCCTTCCGAGAAGTGGCTAGTGGGTTTGAACTGCCAGCCTTCTCGTTAGCTAGCAGTCAAGTGGCTTGAGCACTGTGCTACCAGAGCATTTGAGAGGCCCCCTTATTTGAAGGGCTTGAATGAACGCCCAGGGTCTTGTATGATGAAGCATCGTGAATGAATGGTTTGTTTGAAATTGTGCTTCTATGACTTTCTTCTGTTCCTTTTTTTAGGTGGCATCCTTAGCTGGACCTGGAGGAGAAGTGGAAATTGAGCAAAATTTTCTTAATAATAAGTTAAAAACAATCACTGCTTATTTTGGTGACCTGATCCAAAGATCACCCTCTGAAACATAGCCAAAGTCCATGAGGAGAAAAGATTGCAGAGTTGTCAGAACATCCCTCAAGTACAAACAGCTGGAATTCCTTCTTGTATTCACTGATGTTGTGGACCTGGTACTCTTATATCAGGATCATTCACAGGAGTCTAGTGAATGTTAATAAAGTCCTTTGAGATTCTTTGGTAATATTCAACAGGTTCATCATACATTATGATATATGTGCCTTCTGTAAAGAGGGCAGGCTTGCCCTGTGCTTAATATGTGTATGTATATATTTAACTTTGTCTTTTTTGGTTTGACATCCTTTTTTATGTTCATATATTGTGTTTTTTTAAAATATGTTATTGTTGTCAAGTGCTGATGAGTCAGTTTCAACTCATAGTGACCCCATGTGACAGCGTAGAATTGCCTCATACGGTTTTCTGGGCTGTAATCTTTACAAGAGCAGATAGCCAGGTCTTTCTTCCATGAAGCTGCTAGCCCTTTTGGTTAGCAGGGAGCGCTTAACCATTGCACCAGCACAGCTCCTTCTTCTTTAACATAGAGAAATACAAAGTAAACAATGAATGAATTCTGTTCTCCCCAACAACTTAACTCCTGTGGAAGTAAGTGTTATTCATTTAAGACTAGAAACAGAATAGAATGGTACAAACTGAAAAATACAACCCCTGCAGTCCCTTCCCCTACCCTTTATTCCATTATCTAAAGATAACTAAATTTGTTATAATTCCTTTGAAGAACAGAAAAGAATTACAATATATCCTATTACACCATTTTTTCTTATTGATGCCCTGTTCTATACCCCATCCTCATTTTTTTTTTACTTAATAGTATATCTTAGTACATACAGATAAACTTTTTTTTTCCAATGATCCTCTCATGTTTTCATTTTATAGTCATGCCATAATTAATCTAACCAGTTCCCTGTTCATGGACACTTAGACTATTTTCAGTTTATTGTGGTTACCAACTATTTTGTATTGCCTCTAAGTATAATATATTCTATTGAACAAGAATACTCACAAGACAAGTATTTAGCAGATGGCTAGATTTTCTACGTTTTAATTTTGGTACATCCTGCCCAGTTGCCTTTCAATAATGTTAGACCCATATGTATTCTCACCAACAGTGATGGGAGTATGGATTTCCCTTCACTTTCACCAGCTGGCTCTGAGTGTCATTTAAAGCATTTTAATTTTTGCTATCTTGTGGATGAGAAAAATGTTATCTTACTGATTGTACGTGTTTCCTTAATTGTGAATAAGATTTAAGTATATTTTCATATATTTGCCCTTTTTTACCTAGTCCTTTCTTTTACCAATTTTTCTTTTGAATTAGTCTTTCTATTAATGTATGTGAATTCTTTATAAACAAGAGAATTATCTCATATTATGTAGTCAGATCTATCAATCTTTTCCTCTCTAGCTGCTGGGTCTTATGTCCTTTAGAACTATCTTTTCAACTCTCAGAGTATAAATACATTTATTCAGACTTTTCTAGAAATGTCTTGGTTTCGTTTCTTTTCTCTGTATACAATTTACTTTTCATCATTCTTGTGTTTTGTAGTTAGTGTTTTTATATTGGCCATTCCAAAAACAATATGAAATATATTTTGTAACATAGCGGTTTATATAATTTTTTTGTATTAAAATGAGAATGAAACAGGCTGCGACATGTGTTGCTTAATTATTCACCTGAAGAGTGTGTCCAGTCATTTCACAAGTAATAAATGATGCTAGAATGAGACATGTATCTAAGTTGAGATAGTGACATTTACCATTGGGTTGAATCTGAGATCTCTATCTTTTAATCAGGTGAATGTGTTGAGTATTAAAAAGAACATGATTTTGTCTGGCCGTGGGTCTGGGGAAATTGAAATAAATGCTTTTTCTTTTCGATAAGTACTAGAAAATTAGGATTATTAATAGTAAATAAAAACAACTTTGTTGGGTTATGGAGAAGCAATGGTAATTTTAGTATCTTGAATCTTTACAATATATATACCTAATTGCCCTGCAATGCAGTAGCATTTGAGCTGTTCATTGAAGGTTAATTTTTTTAATTAATTTATAATATCAAATCAGTTCAAATGTTCTTGGTATTTATACTTTTTCCCCAATGTAGTATCAGCATATATATCACATACTTACTGCCATTATAGAGATACTGTCAGCATTGGTCATAAATAGTTCTCTACATGGTCCCTAGAGCTAATGTGTTACTTAACTCCTTTCTGATAGAAGGCAAGGGAAAACAGGTTCCCAAGATCATCAGCTATTTTTAAGTTTTTGGTCACTTAACCTTTCATACATAGACTTTTACCACATATTTTCTTGCTTGTGTATTAATATTAAAATTAATTTGTCTTATATGAACTTATATATGAATTTATATGGTTAGAACTGGAAGCTTAACCAAAATTTAAATATTTCTGTCCACTAATCCCACATGGATATAACAAATTTATAGACTCTTAGAAAATGTTAGGGCTCAAGGGTCATAAGAAATGTTCTAGTGGGTTGTTGTTGTTGTTGTTGTTGTTGTTGTTGTTATGTGCCGTCGAGTCAGCCCCGACTCATAGCGACCCCTCCTTGGGTTTCCGAGGCAGTATCACTACAGAAGTAGGATTGCCCAACCTTCCTTACGAGGAGTGGCTGGTGGGTTTGAACCGCCAGCCTTCTGGTTAGCAGTCAAGTGCTTTAGCCACTATGCTACCAGAGTTGTATAAACCCTATATTCACATAAAATCTTATACCAAGAAGCCAAATGTATAAAATGGATGATAAATGAATCCCTTGGAACTGCTTAGAATAAAATAGAAATGAGGAAGTCAATAGCCTTTGTTCTTGTCCAATCTTATCTTTATTTCTTGTTAAATTGCAAAGCTTTTAAAATAACTTTTTTTATAAAAATGAGTGTGTACTTTGACCATTTAAAATAATACAAAGTGAGCAACTAAAATGAGCATACCCTTTAAGCCCCTTCTCTCCATGCATATCTCCCACATTTCCACTCCCCTTCCAAAAGTAACCTCTGCTGACACTTGGTGAGCCCTTTCCTCTGCACTAAAAACATGCACACACACTGGTGTGGGATGATATGCTGTTATTCTGAAACTTGATTTTTTTTTTCCATTTTTATTGGAAATGTGTTGCATGTTTTTCCACATTGATAAACACATTTTTAACAGACACTTTGTACAAACCTATGAGAATTGCTCAAAGATTTTCCAATTCTGAGCATTTAAACTGTGTCTAGTTTTTATAAGTGTAGATAGTAGCACAATGTATATTTCTAGGTAGGATTAATCCCTAGAAATGAAGTTTTTAGATCTTTGGTAGATCATGTCTTACTGCCCTCCAGAAATGTATACTCATCAAGTGAACATGAAAAGAGCCAGTTTTTCCCACATTCTCACCAGCATTTCGTGTTTTCACTTTTAATTGTTCCTATCTGATCAAGTTATTTTACTTTGCATGTCCTGATTACTTGTGATGTATGAGCAATTTTTTCATATATTTATTACCCAAATGTATGTTGTTTTTATGTGCTGTCAAGTAGGACCCAACTCACAGTGACCCCTCCTTGGATTTCCGAGGCAGTATCACTGTGGAAGTAGATTGCCCAACCTTCCTTCTGACAAATGTATGTTAGGGATCTAATATTTTACCAAAAAAAAGCTAATTGTGCTCATTTTCTATTAAGTAAACTTTCTCCAGTAATTTGAAATCTAACCTTTATATTTATTGTAATATATATA